ATTGACTGTCCCTCTGTTTCCCACGGAACAGTCCTAACATTCCATCATGTGCTGTTTTCAAGCTAGCAGCTCGCGGCTGCATTGCTTCTATATCGTAACAGTTATGTACTGAAGTTCTCACCCTGGGCCAGCAGGGGGATACTGTAGATAGTTATGCAAACGAAGGATCGAAAGTGACATTCAGTGATTGGATAGTTTGTATGCAAATGAAGGATCGAAAGTGACGTTCAGTGATTGGATAGTTTTAGAAAGTTGCAACAGTTACATTGTTCTGGGGCTCTATATAAGCAGGCTGACTGAGCTCCTCAGTTCTGTTCTGTTCCAGCTTACAAATAAAGAGCTGCTTTGGAAGAATCGCTGTGTCGTCTGATATGTTCACCCACAACTTAACATAACAAGCATCCAGTTTCTCTCAGAAACCTCCTGGATGCTCAGTTGCTCTCGAGTGATCCTAGGCTGGCCAGCTAACTAGTGGGAAGAGCCATAGCAGAGTGGCAGAGCACCTGCTTTGCATGCAGAAGGTCCCAAGTTCAATCCCCAACAGCATTTCCAGGTAGGGCTGAGACAAGACTCTTTGCCTACAGCCCTGCAGAATGGCTGCCAGTCAGTGTAGACAATCCTGAGCTACATGGACCCAGTGGTTTGGCTTGGATAAGGACGCTTCCTATGTTCCTAAGCTACCTCCACTTCTAGAGTGAAGTGTGTGTGTGTGTGTGTGTGTGTGTGTGTGTGTGTGTGTGTTTTATCTCAAGGCTGGGGCAACCTGTGACCCTTCAGTTGTTGCTGGACTCCAGTTCCCATCAGCCAGCATGACCAGGGGTAAGGGACAATGGGAGTTGTACTCTGCCACCAGCTGGAGAGTCACAGCTTCCCCCAGTCCAGGTCTATTTCAAGTGTGTGAAACCTTGTGGCTCTCCAGATGTTGCTGCACTACAACTCCTATCACTCCTCTGCCACTGACTGTGCTTGCTGGGGCTGCTGGGAGTTGTAGTTCAGCGGCATCTTGCGGGCCAAAAGTTCCCCAGCCCTGCTTTAGCTGAAGGCTTGCACCTGGCCTTTGAGGAAAGGGCACCTCAGTTCCCAGGATAAGGTTTTCCCTTGGTTTTAGGAGAGCAGGGTATTTCATCATGATTTGTCAGGGTAGGGGATTAAGCTGGATTTCCAAAGACTCTTTGCAGCGGGCTTTGTTTATCCCCACATCTTTGGCCAGGGTTGATGAGAGTTGTGGTCCAAAGCATCTGGAGAATTTCAGGTGGGTGAAGGCTGTTCTTGAGGTTCCCACTTGCAGTTTGCACACCACAGCGTCCAGCTGGTCACCATGAGGACTCCCTTCCCCAGAATGAAACCCCTCTTGGCCCCACACCAGTGACAGGCAAGGGGGGTGCTGTGGGAGAGACCTCCAGGTGCTCAGCTTAACTATCTTTGGGCCAAATGAGTGCTAGAAACCACAGCGATGCAGTTATAGGACCAAGGTGCGAACAGCAGAGAGTGGAGTCCTTCCCGATGCAAGTAAAAACCAAACAAACCTCCCCCTCCCCTCTTTGTTTCATCTTCTGCCTAGATTAAGTTAATAGAGACAGAGTTACTGCAGCTGACCCAGCTGGAGTTAAAGAGGCAGCAGTTGGACACAGAGGTGCTGCATGTACGTCACCCTCTTTTGGACCTCTCCCTTGGTTCACGTTCTTCCCGCCCTGCTCTTCCTTCTGCTTTCTGAGGTGTCTTGGTGCTCGAGGCAGGAATTTGGGGGATGGGATGGGGGATTCCCTGGTTTCTGCCTCCTGGGGCTTCATTTAGCATGCGCTGCAAACGCTACTGCTTTTGAAGACCTGGGGATCCTTAGGAATAGCCTGCTGTAGTGTTCAGAGGGGGAAGTGGTGGGTGGGCTGGCAGGAAAAAGGGGTTGAGATCTGCTGAGCATTCCACATTTTTAAATTTGAACCCCCCCCCCTTTTTTGCTGGTTTTGCTTGGGGGGGGGGTGTGTTTGGTTGTTCTCAAATCTCCACTCCAAAAGCAACATCCCCAGAGAGCACACCATCCTCTCCATTTGCTCTCCTTAGCCAGCGGAGGATAGAGTGTATTAATCACAATTAGTATCCCTGCTTTTATTTTACAAGGTGGGGGAAAGTGGTGGGTTGGGGAAATCCAAGCAAGGTTCTGGTTTTCAGGGTTTCAGAAAGATGCTCGAAAGTAGGGGGGGGGGGGGATCAAAGCCTGCTGAAATCTCTGAAGCCAGGGCAGGAGCTGAGCAAACTGAGCAAATCTTTGCCCTGTGGCTAGCAGAACAAATGGAGTGATGCAGAATTTCAGCTTCCATCCACCCAAGTGAGGGCAGAGAATTTGGGAGTAGCCAAAAACCATTTGGGGGACTCTGCATTAGCCATCCTTGTTGTAAACCAGGCAAGGGAGAAACCTTTGCCTCCCCTCCCCCGAAGTTGGTGGACTGCAGCTCCCATCTCCTCCTGGCTGGAAACCATGCTGGCTGCTGGGGCTGCGCGAAGTTGCAGTTCAGCAACATCTGGAGGGCCACAACAAATTGCCTCCCCACCTGCTTTAAACAAACCTCAAACAGAAGGTTCTGTATGAGGGTGAGGGAACCTCTGGCGCTTGTGTGACCCAGCTTAGCTCCTTTGAATCTGTGTTGCATCTGGAGGTTGGGGAGCAGGCAGTGGAATATAGAGATGGGGGGAGGGTGCATCCAGGATGGTCCAGGTCGAACTTCAAACCCTAGAGCTAGGACGATGTTTGGACGCAGCCTTCTAGGTGGGGAACATTCTACAGCAGCACTGCTTCATGGGCAGCCTTCCAGGGGCCCCATGCCAGTGGTGGGTGGGTCCAGAGGCAAAAGTGGGTGGAGCAACTGGTGTGACTCTTTGTTCAGTATGCTACATTCGAGTAGCGGGAAAAGTCAGAGGTTCACACGGAGACACCTCCCTCCCTCTATCTCCATCAAGGCAAGCAAGAAGCATTATATCCCAGTTCATGGGCACATCCTGGGGTGGGGGGATGCAACCTGGGGAAATAGGGCATGGCTTGGGGAGAGTCTCAAAGGCCAGGTAAAGACACCTGGAGGGCTGCCTTCAGATCCCAGGAATCCTATGGTTCCCCATTGTGGATGCAGGCTTGAGCACCCCCCAAAAGGTGGCTGGAGCAGCCTCTGCTTTGGAAGGCTTGCACTAAGAGGAAGAGCCAGCTGTTTCCTCTGGGGGCAGCCACTTCCACTGCTGCACAGCCCTTATGGTGCATGCTTCCTAATGCCTGTGTGCTGCATTTCAGGAGGCAATTGCAGAGCAGCGGCAAGCCCTCACCTACCTGCTATTAGAAATTTCAGCTCCGGTCGTCCGAGCTGATATGGCTCATCTTCCTTTGAGCCCAGCAGAGCATTAAAACAACAAAGTCCACAACGGAAGGATGAGGCAGGTATGGTGTTACATTGCTATGCTTTATTACTAAGCTATGCAGAGAGTAAAGAAATATACATCTCCTCTCTGTGAGAAGCAGAGAGCAACTGAACAAAGGAAAACGAAAGAACAAAAGAAACAGGAAACCAGTAACGTCACATCCCGTCTCCCTTTCCTGTGAGAATCCAACAGTATCTGGACTGTGGAATGTAAACACAGTCCTGTGACTTGCAAGCAGCTGCTCAGTGAGAAACAGAAACTAACACCTGCTGCAGCAGCTGCTGAAGGAGAAGAGGCAGTGGGAAGAAGAGCTGCAGGCCATCTTGGTAAGGAGACAACTCACCTGTGAGCCAGGCTGATTCTCTCTCACACTCTCTCTCTCACACACACACAGGCTCAGCCTTCTGCCCATTTCCACACCTGGTGGCTTTGCCCCTCTCTCAGAGGTGCTTTGGAGGAGGCCAGGTGTCAGGCTACACTCTTGGAGTCAGCAAAAGCTGCACATGATGATCATTTGTTTGATTGTATATCCCACCTCCCCCCCCCAGAAGCTCAAGGGAGTCATGCATTTGAACCCTCGTCTCTCCCAGATCCTAGTCCGACACTCCTAACCACTATACCACCCTGGCTGGCTGTTTCTCTTCCTTGCAGAGGGAGCTGGAAACTAAGAGTGAGACAAAGCAAGAGAACTACTGGCTGATTCAGTACCAGCGGCTTTTGGACCAGAAGCCCCTTTCACTCCGGCTGCAGGTGACTGGCTAGCAGAAGTGCTGGGGTGGAGAAGGTCGTCTCTTCCATAGGCTTCACTGGGTCTGGCAGCCCCTTATGGTTCTGGCCTCCTCTTTCACCTGTGGCAGGTTCCAGGCTTCCTGGGTCTGGGTTTCCCAGTCAAGAGGCCACCTGGTAACACTGCTCTCCTTTTCCTTTGAAGGAGGAAGGACTGGAACGGCAGCTCGTGGAGCTCCTGGCAGACCTGTCAGCCGACCAGTATACTCCCATCTTTGCACATCACCGGATGTAGCTCAAAATGCTAAGTGCCATGGTCCCAAGTGACTTGACCAAGGTACGTGGGGAAGTTTAGAGCAGGGGTGGGGAACCTCAGGTCCAGGGGCCGGATGCTACCTTTATGGCCTCTCTGTTCAGCCCTCAGAACTTTCCTCTGGGCCGCACCACTGGAGGCTGGGCACATGGGGTGCTCTCCCCCCCCAGCTTCAATCTGCCCTCACTCAGCCAGCCCCCACCTGCATACCTTCTCACAACCAGTCCAGGGGGTGGAGGTGGCACAACCTCTCAACTTCACCCTGCTCTTAAGTCTCAGGGTTGCCCCTTGCAGGGAGGAGGATGGGGACAACTTTAGAATGAGTTGACTCTGTCTGCGATTGGCTCTGGCTCTGCCAGGCATGAGCTCTGGCTCCGCCTACCATTTGGGCGCCCTGCCAGTCTTGATGGGCATCCGCCACCTTTCACTGGACTGGACCGTAATTTGTACTGATATAGAAGTTCCACACACAGTGAAATGGATAAAAGTAAACCTGGGAGAGAACCATGCTGTTCAGAAGGCTCCTTTCTGCGCTCTGCCATTTGCTTATGTCCTCTTCCAGATGGGGGTCACAGAGACAGGCCTGCAGCACTCCATCATCCAGAAGGCCCGAGAGATCCACGCCGTGGCTGAAACCATCCCAGGTAACTTGCTGGATCCTCGCTCCTAAGGACATAAGCTGCCTTGCACAGAGTCGGAGCAGGGATTGAGGTTTGGCACAAGCCCCATTCCCCTTGCCATCTCTCATGAGCTTGTTTGGGGGGGGGGTGACATTCTTCCACTCCCTTTCAGCCCAGCTCATCAGCAAAGCATCCACTCTGCATAAAATTGCTTGTTCTCAGTGACCAGCTCCTTCCAATTGCTTGCAGAGTTGCTGAAGCCTGCAGAAGAGGCAGAGCTTGCTGCTCCGGGGACCAGCAGAGAGCCCCCCACCGCCATGGCTCCTTCTGCCTTAGCACCAGAAGACCACCACTGTGAGTGTGTGATCTGCAAGGAGCGAGAGGTAGGTTGACCACCACCCAGGAGCTTTGAAAGCTTAACCTGCATGCCAGGCAGAGTCAGTGATCCTCAGAGGCATCAGGGAATTAGCATGACACAATGGAATGCTACTCCATCTCTATGCCACAGCTATAGAAGGCCTTCCTAAAACCCATCAATCCTAATCTGTGAAGTTTCTCAAGGCCTGATCCAACAGGGATCCTCTGCTGATGTTCTTATCTTGTGCCTGAACTTGCTTTTTTCCTCCTCCTTCCCATCCCTTTTTCCTTGTGTGTTATGTCTTAGATGTCAAACCTGAGAGAAGAAACTGTTTTGTTTGTCAGATGCTCTCGCAGGCTTTTTTGTGCAGGTATGGTGGTGAGGATGAAGCGCAGGATCAAAATACTTTGGAATAAAACCCTGATCTCTGACAACATGTGTGCAAGGGGCAGGTGGCGAGGAGGCCCTGCTGTTGGTAAGAGCTGTGGTCCTAGCATTTGCCTCTTCCTCTTCTTCTTCTCTTCCCCCCAGGCCCAGGTGGTATTCCTGACTTGTGGCCATGCCTGCTGCTGCCAGACCTGCTCCGAGGCCCTGAGCACCTGCCCGCTGTGCCGCAAGGACATCGTCCAGCGCATCCATCTTTTCCACAGCGGATAGCCCCACATGGGGATAGCGTCACTCCCATCATGTGCCCGCTTCTTCCCCCTCAACCTTGCACACTGGGTTGCCAGGGGTGGGGTGGGATCAATGATTCTTTTGGAGTGCTGTGTAGGCCAGTCCGGGATATGCACTACCTCCTTGCTCTTTGCGTAACCATCACCATCCTCTGCTCATAGAGCATGGCTGCAATTCCCCCCCTCCTCAACTCTCAGCTGTTGGCTGTGGCTGCTCAAAGGCAAAGATGGAGGCACATCTCTGGGCTGAGGGCAGAATGGTGCTTGCAGTTCCTGAAAAGCTACCCGCACATTTTGGGGAACAGGCAAACACCACATCTTCTCTGGCAGCCTGGCAGGGGTTATTTAAACATGTCAGTCCCAACCTATGGGCAGAGTGGGTTCTAGGAGCTTCAGTACAGGAGAAGAGATTCCCTGCTGTCTGCCCACCTAACGAATCAGGGCTGGTGTGTGTGTGTGTTTCTGTGGCTGGGTTTTAGGCCACTACTGGCTGAGCTGCAGCAGCACCCAGTGGAGCAAAAGTGCCTGGAAGCTGTCCCATCTGTCACCCTGGGAGAGAGTGGTTGGTGATTCCCAGCCGTCCAGCATCCAGCTCCCAATCTAGACCACTTTGAACTCTTTCCAGGCCAGCATTTTAAAGCTGCCACCCCCAACCTGGTGCCCTCTAGCTGGGATGACTGCATTAAGGACCCCACAAAGGGTGGGTGGATAAGTCAAGCAAGAGCCCTGGTTGGGTAGAGGTCTCGTCCCACCCACTACATGTTTTTCACTAGTGGAGTATGTGTGTGTTTGGTTCATCATCCCTCTCGGTTCATTGGTCAGTAATTGACCTTGATAGTCTGCCAAGGCAACATCTCCTCCAGAAGAAATTAGCCTCCACCCAGTTTTGCTTGGCAGGTTTCCTGGCAGGAGAAAGTGGACACTCGTATTTGCAACTTCCAAGAAACAGGCCCCTGAGCCTTTTGTGAGGAGAATCAGAACTTACAGGGTTAAACAGTTCTGTGTGACGTCTCACATTCTGAGGCGTGGTTTGGTTCACATACGGGAATCTTTCTTTGTGTGTGAGTTTCCTTTCGTTTTTGGCTGAGAGACGAAAGAATGTCCGCTCTCTCGCCGGGACTGATTTGTGATGTTTTTCTTCTCATTAAAGGCTGTTAGAGATTAGCAAGAAGCCTGTGTTCAGTCTGATTTATTATCCACACACAAGGCAACACTTTCTACCGCTGCAGAACTCCGCTAAGAACTCTGCTAAGAGCTCAAGTTTTTCCTATCGGCACAAGCGTCCATCAGCACAGGGGAAGTGTGCCGGGCGCCATCTTATCTCAGCAGGTTATGGGAGCTAGCCAAGCTTTCGAAGCTGTTGCCACGTCGTGCCTGTGTGTGTGGGAGAAGCCAGCTAGAGCCCCTGCCTAACGTTTGAGGCAGTGAAGCTTGCTGGGGAGGATCTCATCTTCAGGACCGGGTGCCAAGAGGAGCTGCTGGTTACGTGAGTAGGCTCAGCCCCGGGGGAGAAGATGGCAGATGGACAGGAGTCATTCTCAGTCCCCTTTGAAAAATTAAATGGGAGCAACTGGGAGGAGTGGTCAAGGAAGCTGAAGGCCTGGCTGGTAGCCAAGGGTCTGTGGGAGGCGACCCAAGGGCCCCCACAGCAAGCTGCAGCCGGAGCTGCAGCAGCGGTTGTTGCAGCTGCCCAAGCCTCACAGAGGAAAGACCAGAAAGCCCTAGGAACTATAGTGCTCAGTTTGGAGGGCTCACAGCTACCTTTGGTGGAGGGTCTTGAGACTGCCCAGGAGGCCTACCAGGCACTAGAGAGAGTGCATCACAGGACCACAGCTGGGGCAAAGATCCACACCACCAGAAGCTTGTTTGAGCTGAAGCTGCGTCCTGGTGATAGCATCAGACAGCATGTGACTAAGATGCTCTCTGTTTTCAACAAGCTGAGACTGTTGCAAGTCAACTTTACTGAGGAACTGGAAGTTTATATTTTGCTCAGCTCTTTGGACAAAAGTTATGACAATTTGTGTCTAACTTTGGAATCGATGAATCCAGCGGATCTTACGCTGCAGTATGTGACTGGGCGTTTGTGTGACGAGGAGGAACGCTGTCTCAGAGAGGGCCGAGCTGGCGCAGGGTGCCCTGCCGGTAACAGAGGGGGGGGGGCAAGCCAGAAGGCACAGTTCAGGCTTTTTCCACTCGTCGTTGTTTTGTCTGCGGGTCTGTTGACCATCTGCGTCGGTCCTGTCCGAGGAGAGCTAGAGAGGCCGGGCAGGATGTCTCCAAGGTCGCTTCCCATGGCAGTCAGCCAAGTCCTCGTGGCAGCCAGCCAGGTTTCCATGGCAGCCAGTCTAGGAGAGGAGGCCAGCGTGGGAATGCAAAAGGAGGACGTGACAGAGGACGTGAGAAGGACGGTTCTTATCACCTAGCTGCCTCCATGGCAACGCTGAAGGACAACTCCGATGAGGGCAGCATGCTGCGTTGGGTCATCGACTCAGGACCCAGCCATCACCTGATGCCATCGCCATCTAGTGGCGAAATGTGGAACTGCAGGGCTGTTTCAACTGGGAAAACAGTCACTCTTGCTGATGGCTCACAGAGACAATTAACCACTGTTGGCAATGTGTTTGTTTCTTTTTTACAGGCAGAGCTGGAAGTCTACGTTGTGCCAGGAATGAAGTGTTGTCTTTTATCTGTATCTGCTCTTGTAAAGGAGGGTTATAAGGTTTGCTTTGAAAATGATGTCTGTTCTATTTCCAGGGGTGGGAAACAACTGGTCAGTGTTGCATGTCAGAACAACCTCTTTGTTCTGGAGACACCTCTGGAGGGTAAGGGGAACGCTGAGACAGCACAGGCGCGGTGTGCTAACGTTCCCATACATGATTCATGTGCTCACTTGTGGCACAGGAGAATGTCGCATAGCTGTTGGAAATATATCCAGAAGTTGCCATAATGCACTGAGGGTTGCAAGATGAAAGCATGTGATAGATTCTTGGATTGTAGGGCATGCAAAAGAGCAAAGACAAAAAGGTGCAGTTATCCCAGATCGGAGAGGGTAACCACAAGGCCTTTTGAGCTTGTGCATACAGACCTTTGTGGACCCATGCCAGTGCCGAGTCTGGGCGGAGCCAGGTATGCGCTCACACTGACAAATGATTTTTCGAGGAACGGCTGGATCTTCTCGCTGAAACAGAAAAGCGAGGCGGCGCAACTGATCAAAGACTGGGTTGCGGCGGTGGAACTACAGTTTTCCACCAAGGTGCAGAGCTTTCAGAGCGACCAAGGCGGAGAGTTCACCGGGTCTGCTCTGCAGAGTTTCTTCCGCCAGAAGGGGATAAGTCACAGGTTGACGGTTGCTTTTTCTCCTCAGAATGGCGTAGCGGAGCGCAGGAACAAAACGCTAGCTGAGGCAGCTGACACTCTACTGTTTGACTCTGGTTTGCCTCAGAGCTTTTGGGCCGAAGCTTGGAAAGCTGCCAGCTTCACTTTGAACAGGTCCTATAGCTCTGTTGTAGGAGACACACCCTATTTTCTGCTGCACCGGAAGAAGCCCAAGGTGCATTTCTTCTGTGTGTTTGGTTGTGAAGCTTGGGTGCTTGTGCCAAAGGCTCAATGCAAGAAAGGTGACCCAAGGTCCCAGAAAATGATCTTTTGTGGGTATGAGCCTGGGACAAAAGGGTGGAGGTTTGCCTATCCAGAAGGCGATCAGTCCAGGATTCTAGTCAGCAGGAGTGCTGAGTTCTGTGAGCAGAGTGGTTGGTCAAGGATCCATGCGAATCCTGATGTTCTCTCAGAGTGTCTGTCTGATTCTGCTGAGGAGGGAGAGTTAGAAGTTGAACCTGTTGATGAGGACCAGGTCTCTGACCAGGGTCAAGAACAGGGAGGGGCATCTCCACAGGTTGTTAAACGAGAGCCCAAAAGTGAGCCTTCGTCTCCCGTTAGTCAAGTGCAGAAGGCCAGAAGACACAGTAAGTCAGAGAGGGAGTCTTCTGATAACAAGGACACACTAGCTGGCCCCAGTGGGTCAGAGGGAGCACCTGAGACAGTGCTCAGACGTTCCACACGCACTACAAAGGGGGTACCACCTGAGAGGTTTGAGGTCACCAGCGTGTGGGTTGGTTTAGCGCAGTGCGAACCAGAAAGTTTTGAGGAGGTTCAACAATTGCCTGAAGAAGAAGCCAGGAAGTGGCAAGAGGCAATGGGAAAGGAGTTGAACTCAATGAGGTCCTTAGGTGTGTTCTCCACCACGAAGCTGCCAGAGGGCAAGCAGGCTGTGAGCTGTCGTTGGGTTTACAGGATTAAGCCCACAGCGTCTGGAGAACCACAGTACAAGGTGAGGCTTGTAGCCAGAGGGTTCACGCAGAGAAGGGGGCTGCATTACACCGAAGTGTATGCTCCTACTTCCCGGAGTGAGACTCTGCGCGTGCTTTTAGCAGTTGCTGCTCAAAGAGGGCACCAAGTGCACCACTTTGATGTGGATGTGGCTTATTTGAACTCGGATCTGAAGGAGAATCTGTACATGTTACCTCCTCCAGGGTTTGAGGGCAATGAGCCAGGTGTTGTGTGGAAGCTGCACAAGTCAATTTATGGTTTGAAACAGTCAAACTGTGCCTGAATGAAGCTCTGGAAAGTTTGGGTTTCCAGAAGAGTCTTGCAGACAGTTGCCTGTACCTGAAGGGGTCAGAAGAGACACAGGAGGCAATTCTGGTGTTCATAGATGATATTCTGTACGTGGCACAGACAGGTAGACAGGTGCAAGGTTTTGCCAAAGAGCTTGGTAAGAAGTTTAAGCTCAAAAACCTTGGTCTCGTTCAGGTTTATCTAGGCGTTAGGATAGACAGGTCTGAGAACGGGAGTTTCTTGCTCAGTCAGAAAAGCAAGATTGAGCAGTTGCTTGAGAAGTTCCGGATGTCTGACTGTGCAGGGGTCAGAACGCCCATGGAGACCAACTTCGCGAAGGACAGTCAGCTTGGGGAGCGTTCTGAGTTCCAAAACCCTGAGGTGTTTCAGTCAGTGCTAGGTAGTCTGTTGTATCTCTCTCAGTGGAGCAAACCAGACATAGCGTTTGCTGTGAATCTGCTCAGCAGGGAGGCTACAAAGCCCAGTGTGAATGCCTGGCAAGGCATCAAGAGAGTGTTGAGGTATTTGCAGGATACCAAAGAGTTTTGCCTCACGTTGTCAGCTGAAGGTGACGCACGGCTTACGTGCTGGAGTGACAGCGATTGGGCATCTCTTGGGGACAGGAAGTCTGTGTCTGGGCTGGTGGTAAAGTTCGGGGAATCCCTGGTTGGGTGGAAGTCCCGGAAGCAAAGTCTTATTGCACTTTCTTCCACTGAGGCTGAGTTCAGTGCATTGTCGGATTTGTGCAGGGAGGTGGACTTCTACCGGTGCTTGATCCAAGAGATCTGTGGGGATTGTTACTTGCCCATAACTGTTTGGGGAGACAATCAACCTTGTCTTAGGTTGGCAGAATCTGGACAGTTCAAGTCCAGAACCAAGCATTTGGACATACGTTTCCAGAATGTATGTCAGACTGTCCAAGCAGGTTGGATACGGCTCAAGTATTGTTCGAGCCGGGAGAACCTAGCTGATGGGTTTACCAAACCCTTGACCTTCCAGCGACATGGGGAGTTCTGTGAAGGGTTGGGTTTGGGGTGAGTTATACTCACAGTTTTCCCTCAGCATGCGAGACGAGAGGGGGTGTGAGGAGAATCAGAACTTACAGGGTTAAACAGTTCTGTGTGACGTCTCACATTCTGAGGCGTGGTTTGGTTCACATACGGGAATCTTTCTTTGTGTGTGAGTTTCCTTTCGTTTTTGGCTGAGAGACGAAAGAATGTCCGCTCTCTCGCCGGGACTGATTTATGATGTTTTTCTTCTCATTAAAGGCTGTTAGAGATTAGCAAGAAGCCTGCGTTCAGTCTGATTTATTATCCACACACAAGGCAACACTTTCTACCGCTGCAGAACTCTGCTAAGAACTCTGCTAAGAGTTCAAGTTTTTCCTATCGGCACAAGCGTCCATCAGCACAGGGGAAGTGTGCCGGGCGCCATCTTATCTCAGCACCTTTTTCACTGCCTGACCGCTCACTCACACTCATCGTCCTGTGTTCTCTTGGAGCCAGGTGAGTGAGGAAACATTTTGGCTTCTTCTGGCATTGCTGAACCACGACTTCCATCTTGCTCAGCACGCGTGGCCAACACCCAGGGATTATGGGAGTTGTAGTTCAGCCACAACAGGAAGGCCAAAGGCTCCCTACATCTGAACTACAGGATGGCCAAGAGGTGAGGTCTTTCCTTTTTAGCAAAGTCAGCTAACATGAACAGTACAGTGCTTTATTCTATCAGTTTTCTCCAAAAGGATCTGCAAATATTTTATAACTAAAAGGTAAAATGCATCAGAAGAATGAAGTGTTGTTTTGCCTGCCAGGAAGCCTTAGTCCCAGTGCAGGTGTGGGGATTGTTTGCCACTCCAAATGAGACTGAATTACAACACCTGTCATCATCCCTGGCCTTTGGCCATGCTTGCTGGGCCTGAGGGGAGCTGTAGTTCAGCAATGTCTGGAGAGCCTAAAGTTCCCCCACGCTTACAAGGAAAACCAAGAGGGGAGAGATTGGCAGAAACCCTATGGAAGGGAGGCCTTGCCTATGCCTGGTCATGGAGGATGTGCCTCAGTAATCCCTCTCCACCCACCTACCCACAATTCCTTGCTCATGGTGATTTGTGCCCCTTCCAGATAAGGGATAAGGTGCCTTGAGTCCCTGTCAGGAGAAACTGCAGGGTACAAATATAGAACAGAACTACAGAATTGTAGAGTTGGAAGGGACCCAGAGGGTCACCTAATCCAAACCCCTGCAATGCAAAGATCTCGACTAGATCATACACGACAGATGGCCATCTAACCTCTGCTTTAAAACCTCCAGTGAAGGGTAAGTCCACAGCATACCGAGGGAGACCATTCCACTGTTGAACAGCTCTTAAATGTCAGAAAGTTCCTCCTGATGTCAGAGTCTCCTTTCTTGAAGCCACTGATATTTGTGTGGGCTGGGTTTTAATAGAGGATATATTAATTGCAATTTATCCCTTCACACACCCATGTTTGTGGGCTGAAACAAAATAAAGCATAGGAATTAGTCTATAAAACTTTGTTTTGAGCAAGTCCAGCTAACAAAGTAAGCTGGCTTCCCCCTTCTTACCCCACTTAAACAAAAAAACAGGCAGCAACTTGTAAAGTAAGATTTACTTACTTTATAATCATGCATAGGTTCACAGCAACAGTAGCAGTAAAAACCATGCAGGCAAAATATGGTATAGTTTCAGTATAACCGGCTTCATGCATGTGCCTAAAACTCAAGCTAGCAGAAGCATGTCTGCATCCATCGCTAGTCAAAGGGAGAGTGAGAGCTACATGAAGTACTATATGCTTCT